CGGATGGTGACAGAACGCCTTTGTGGGGAAGGAAGCCATACAAAGGCTCTCCAGATACCCAAGCCCCTGAATTTGTTAGATGGATCTTGCGGGAAATGACTAGAGGAGCTTACAAGTTTCACCAGCATCTTCGGATACAAAGACGGATTCTCCAGTGTCCACCACGCCTGTTATTGTCAACGCGCCGTCCTGAAAGATCTGATGTCTATAACGTACCGACAAAGATGCGCGGAGTCGGAGAGCCACTGGACCCTGAGGTCGAGTCGAAGGTGACCCAGGCAATTCCTACCGGATCAGACGTGTAGGTGGAGCTGGAGTCTTGGAAATAAGTGCCAGTCCACTTAAAGGCAGTGACATTCGACCAGGTCGCGCCATAGTCCGTGCTCTTCCACAAGCCATTGCCACTGCGGGCTCCGAAATACAAGATACTGTTGTCATTCGGGTCCACGGCCAGTCGCTGCAGTGGTCAGTGTATGCTAGCAAGAAACAGACATTGGACATACTTCGCCAACGCCCCGGCCGGGCATGTTCCCTCCAACTTTGAAGGGAAGCTTTGTCTCCTCCCAGGTATCGCCCTGGTCGGTTGACCGCAGGATCGAGCCGTCATTGGGATCCCAGTCGTTGGTGTACATGCCTACTGCAACATACACTCGGTCGGTATCAACGGGGTCGGTCGCAATCGCATCAATGCCCCAGTCGTGCCTGAACAGTGAGCACGAGCATACCGTAAAAGGGGCTTACGTACCAGTTGGAGTTGTTGGCCCAGTCCATCAAGGGAGTCCATGTATCATCCGAGTTCAACCGGTATGCACCGCCGATGTCGGTGCGAGCATACGCGACACCTTTGGCTGAAGGGTTGAAGACGATGCCCGGCGTGAAGCCTCCGCCACCTGATTACATTAGCTTGTTCATTCCCTATGCCGAAAAATAAATCATACCTCCTGTGACTACATTCTTCCAGGTATATCCCTGAGAAGCGGCTGCCTGGACCGAGTCCACCAGGTAGCCTGCCGCCAGGGCTGTGATTGTACGCCACATTGTGATTGGTGATTGTCTTGGTGCTACTGATAGATTGTCAATCAATGTGGGAGAGTCTGAAGCTTATATACCCAGCAGGTTCAAATGTCGGAGCTGTTCTTCAGGCACAATTCTACCATCAACGATGTTCGCACATGCGTGACATGCAGTTGGCCCTGCGTTAGTGGCTCGAACGGACATGCTATACCTGACCTGGAACGGACCAAGGCATTGTGTGGTCAGACGGACGAATCTTGACCTGCTACGTTAGGGATGATCTGATTGTGCAGATGCAGGGACGAGGACATATATCCGGAGAAAGGACCGAATAGCCGAATAGATTAATTATGAGGAGATGGGGTCAGATGCTGCTGCGTGATTGATTGATCACGGAGCGGCCTCCGAAATAACAGTCATCAACATATTGACAGAGGAGCTTAGATGTGGGTAATATCCGCGTGCGTTCGACCAATACTCATAGAACCATGATACAATACTCTTCACAGAAGCTGTGAACTGTTTGACATACATAGGGTGATGCCGCAAACAGAATGAGCTCTGATTGGCGGAACAACGAGCTGCAGATGGGGAATAATGCATGCCATTCTGATGACACCCAGTCCCGGACAGACACGGTCGGGTTTTTCTCCTGACACCTGCAGGGCTAGCGCAGCCATATTAGCTTTTACCACCGAGCGACATTTTCCAGTTGAAACCGCACAAAATGTGCAGGTGGGTTTCTTCTTGCCCAAAGAAGTACTCAACTAAACCATGTCTCTGTGCAAGAGGGCTTGGCAGCCATGACTCGCCTGGTACCTGGCCTACCAAGTTGGGATATCCGGAGCTATAACTGCAAGACCTGCCATAGCATGCTGAGTAGATCCACACTTCCAGATAAAAATTTGGCTTGACGCTTTTGCCGCCCGGTCGGAGTGGACTCGATCGAGGCTACTGTTCGGAGATTGACCCTATAGCACTCCTACTGGGGGAAGCGGTGGGAAGCCAATATAAGTCCGCTCAAAATTATGAGCCGTCTCCCCATCGATGGGTTGGACCATATTATAGGCGATGAGCAAAATAAACTTGTTAGCTGCCAGTCAAATGTCAGACTGAGATCATGCTACCGGGGGCCTAGCCGTCCGTTCGGCCGAAACTAAAGTGCGGTCCAAGCTCGAAGCAGGGACGGTAAAGCCATTAAAGTTACTGTGGACATCGGGATTTGATCAACGCCCTGGAACCGTATCCGGCGAATAATGCCAACGGACGGGTCACCGTAAGAAGCAAGATAAAGAGTGAATCCCGAAGGTGCCTGTTGATCCATCAACGTCACAATCGGCCCGTGCAATCAATCCGGGACTGGAGATCACAAGCCGGGATGAAATATTGATACGTCCACTGCCCTCACGCCACTGTGACATCCAGCTGCAGGCTAATCCAGTTGACAGGTGCCAGGACCACCAGCTCTTCTTTGTGTGGGCGTTTCACCATGAAACGCCCCAGATCGACGGCCAATTTAGGGTTGCCGCCCCACAACGGGCTGTCCCATTTTTGAGCTTCGGGGCCTTATTGGCTCCATCTAGTCATTGGTGTCATAGTTATATTGATTCGGAGAATCTTTTCGTGTCATTTCCTGCTTGTATCCATAATAGGGAGCCCTGCTTTGTGGATCTCATATTTCTGCGCGTTGAGCTAAATCTACAGACACTGAAGCTTAGAGTATGCTTGCTGTGGCAGGTATGTAAAAGGATGCGGTTCCTGGTTTGCTGCACGAAGTTCGACTGCAGGTCATCATCCTGTCAGCTCTATTCATTCCTTCACCATGCCAGGGGGCCTGCATCCACCGCTTTCGGTCATGGAATCATGGCCTGCACGCAACACCATCAACCCGGAAACTCATGGGGCAGCGTCCATTGTGCTCCCAGTTTTCTTCGGATCCATCGCCGTCACAGCAGTCATACTTCGACTCTGGGCTCGCTGCGTAATTCAGCGACAGGGTAAACTCGACGACATATTCATCGCACTTGCACTAGTTAGGCAACCTCTTCCTATCACAACACAATACCTTCTAACAATCCCCAGATCCCAGCCATAGGGCTCAACATCAGCTTCCCCCTCGGTACTACCCAAGCCACCTCTTTATCAACTCACCCGTACTAACCAACCACCCAGGAGCCTACATCTACGGCGAAAACCACCACGTCTGGGACAACACACTCCCCCAACTTCTCCAATCGCGCAAACTCGCCGTCGCACAAGAGCTCTTCTATATCCTCTCCTCGTGCTTCACCAAGATCTCAGTCCTTCTGTTCTACCGGCGCATGGGCCACCGCACAACCATCTCCCCTCGCTTCCTCAACATCATCTACATCAGCATCGCCAGCGTAGCAGCCTACACGCTCGCCTTCTTCATTGTAATCTGGGTCGCCTGTCGTCCCTTCTCGGCCTACTGGATGGAAGTCGATCCCGAGTATGCCGCCACGCACAAATACACGTGCTACAATGAACCTGCTCATCTCATCGCAGCGACGTTTATAAGTCTCGTGCAGGATATCGTAGCCACGACGCTACCCGCTGTGTTGTGTTGGGGGTTGCAGATGCGATTGAGGCAGAAGGTGTTGCTCAATGGGGTGGTGTTTGGGTTGGGGTATTTGGCTGCTGTTGTGGCGGGGGTTAGGGTATGGTTTTTGTACAGGATGTTTTATGTGAGCTATGATGCAAGTTGGGAGGTTTGGTATTGTTGGGTGCTTGCTATGTTGGAGGTGGATGTTGCCGTGGGGTGTTCGTGTTTGCCCGGGGTTAATATTTTTGTGAGGAGTGTGGGGTGTGGTGGGGGCAGGAAGGGGGGAAGTGGAAGTGGGAGTGGGGTGGGGTCGTGGAGTTGGAGTGTTGGGAGGAGTCGGAGTTGGAGTTGGAAGTGGGTGAAGGAGGGGGGTGTGGGGGTTCACGTTAGTACTAGGATAAGAGCCAATACTGTTGATGGGGAAGCAAGGGGGGTAAAGAATGAAGGGGGTGAGAGGGGGTCGAATGATACGCAGAGGGATCTTTTGGATAGGCAGGCTGGTAGTGTGGTTGAGTTGAAGGTGTATAGGGAGGTGTCGGAGGGGGAGGTATAACTTTTGTACTATAGTGCTGGCACTAGATATAATTACTTGGTTCTACGAATATGTTAATTGTTGGTTCTTAGTTCGGATCAGAGTTTCTGGGGGTCATTATATCAATACTCACATGGATGTCTCTCAGTATAGAATTTATGGTCAACTCTGTGAGTTAAGAAGAGTAGATACTAGCTGCGCAGTTTGCGCGGGAAAAGTAGATAGGATATTATTTAATTGCTGATAGCGAAAACGAAGTTGAGTCTTCAATCTTCATGTTATGCTCCCTCTTCACCAGCAAGAGACAACAGCGTCTTTGGTGGAATACATTTGCAGATGATGTACAACAAAAGCATCTTCATGACACTTGGCGAATGTGAATACTTCAGAACCCAGATGCATATTCTGCGTATAGCAGAAGGATTGCTAAGTAGTAAACAACTTGCCGAACCGACAGCTGCGAGACTGAACTTATAAGCCAGGAATGTTTGACGCATCTTTCGAAAGACAGCTGCTAGACGATCTTGGCAGCTGGTAGCCGTCAGACATTCTTTATAAGAAATGATGTGTGATACTAGTGGCATGGTCAGTGATATACACAATCTAGCTAAGTGGTCAATGGGAAAGGTCAAGAACAAAGGTGAGAGCGCAAGCAGTCGAAGAAAGTGAATGCCTCTGTCACACAAGTAATCGAGCCAACTCCGATAAAGGCTCTCCACGAGTGAGTCATGCCTGAAACCTTGGTGCAGGAGACCCACCCAGTATCTTGAATTATGTACTTCTAGATCAGCCTGTTTCCTGTCAAGTGACCTGGGTATAATATCAATCATGTGAATTCTGCTTTGAGACAAAGTTTGTGTCGTTGTTTCGACGGAATATGGGATCGAGGGATTAGTTGATAATTGCTCCTGTTGTACTGAGTTCTTTAAGTCCTCGAAAGTTGGTGTGTCATTATCTGGAGGAGGAAGGAACAAATAAGGTGTGAGGGTAGCCTCCCAATTGGGACCGTAGCTCCAGCGGGGCTTTTCCATTCTAACAGCCAATATGAATGAGAGGCCACTGCCATCCAAGTCCTGGAGCGAAACGAAAACGTATTTGGTATCGAAGTAAAGGTCTCCAGTGGTTTTTGTGAAGACAACCCTTGAATCAGGCCGCCAGCCGGCGCTAGATGGGAGTACCTCCGCTATCCCAAGATTGGATGGAAGATCTCTTACAATGACAGAATAATGTGGGTGATTGATGATGCCTGCATAGGTTGCATCGATATCAGGGGAAAAATAAAGCTGTTCACGGGGCCACCTGAACCAAGCTGCATGATCGGCCACATAATTCCCTCGTTTGGATCGGCAGTAGGTATCTTCTATTTTCGATAATGGCAGGGCTATTAGCCTTGTAGGGTCTGTCTTCATTTGACACTGTAGGAGAGCGAAGTAGCCGTCGAAGAGCTCAAGAAGTGGCAGTTCTATGCTTAGGCCCTTGTTGGTCATCGAGAAAGGAGGAGTCGGCTTCTTGACGTCGCATGGAACTATGTTGCCACAACCTCGAAATGCTGCTGGAGACTCCGCGAGGATCCCCGAGATGTCTGATTCGTCTATTTGCATTGCTCCAGAAAATTCTGGAGGGGTTTCATAGTCTTTGAAGAAAGAAACCATTTCCTCGAGCAACGACTGACATATAGACCATGGTCGTTTATGACTCAGATCATGTTCTGGTGCTCTGAAGCTCCACGCAAACAATGATTGATCGTCGGAATATTTGATGATCTCTTCTTGTAGTCTTCGAAAAGCAGCAGATCCCTCTCCATACAAGAGGGGCATGTTGACTTGGAAAATACCCAGCAAAGAATATGCCACGTCCTCTATCCGGCTTGTTTCACGGTTCGATGCCCAGCTCATTCGTTCCGCGATGCTTGTTGACATAAGCTCGAATTTGAGATTTTCACTGTGCAGCCTCACTTGTAGAAAGGAGTGACTAATGCCAGTGATGTCACTTATAAGATCAGCTTCAATCGCCCGCATAGATAAGAATGACCAATCTTGAGCCAGGAATACCAAATGACATGGCGCAATAAGCTCCTGAAGGGTCCACCCTCGAGTGAACCATCGACTGCGCGAAAAGGCAGCTTCATCGAGCCCTTCATCACTGATCGGAGGTACGTCTGCTAGGTAGGCATAGCAAATTTTGGACTCGGCGTACCATGCCATCATAGAGTTGATGGCTTCAGAAAGCTCAGCACTGCTGGTCTTATCTATGCAGCAGGTATCCACCCATACATAGCCTAGGCCATCTTGCAAAGCCCGTTCACAGGAATGCTTGATTTTGGCGTACCCCGATTTCTTGGTGGCAGTTGGCGTCTGCATGTCCTGGAAGGTGACTTCATCTTGTCCCCAAGTATGAGACAGGATAGCGTATTTGGGAATATTCTGGCCCACGAATTCCTCCAACCCGAGGGTTCTGGCGTTTATCAAGCGCATTGTCTTTGTTTGTAACGGTTTGCTTTCGCAGTTCGGGAACCAAGCAGTGTTCGATACATAGAGGAGAGGATTCTCTGTGCGAGGTGGTCATATAGAGAAGGGAAAAGGAGGTGAAGAACTCGCAAGAGACATGACTGCTCAACTTTCAGCTCAGCTGCCGAGCTGATATATGGTGGGGCATCAGTGCTTTTGTTTGCGGTGGGTCTGGCGGGCCTTCTTTTGCTATGATTTGACAGCGAGCCGCCCGGGCTATCAAAATGGCCAGCTGGCGCCCCATCGAACAGATCGCTGGAGCAATGAGATTGAAGCAGAACCTCCGTTCAGTTCACAGGGGTAATTTTCTCGGTTCCTGGACTTGCCCGGAGTAGTCTCTCATACTGTCCTGTAGTCATGCGACTCAGTTGTCGGGACGACTGGTTGCGCTTAGCTTGCATGATGTAGCAATATATGTTGGAACATTTGCCAAGTAGACCAAACCGATAGTATATCGATAGCCACCAAGCAGCAGGGGTAACTCAGATAGATGTCTCAACAATATATATCCTCGGTCTTACTAGAATTGGAGATTGTTCGAGGGAGTTAGTATGTGGTTCAGGGTTTCAGTATTACGTACTAGTCTTGAAAATTTCGTAAGTGACATTGACTACTAATAGGGCAATATATAACTTGAGCAGATGAAGTTCATGTTGATACTACTGCCGAGTCGACCACCACTAAACTGTCTCATGAAACTACTACCATGATGAAGTTATGAAAGCAGCAACTGCCATTCGTAGCCAAGACCATAAAGACGATCCCCTTCCCTATAATAATAATACCCCAATGCCCTCTGAACCATGGAAATAAGAATAACTGGTCACTCCAACGATCTCAACACCTCCGCCGCCACATGTTCTCCTGACCGCACAGCCCCATCCATATACCCAGTCCAATAGTATGACGCCTCCGTACCGGCAAAGTAAACCCCACCCGCCGACTCCCTCAAATACTCACCATAATCAGTGAGCACACTAGGAGGCGCATAAGCGACCGGTCCACCGCGGAAAACTCTTCCCAGTCCCAGCGCTGAACGATCAAATGGTCGGGATGCGCGGCTTGTGGACCAAATATACCCACGAAGCTGTCAATAACTGCTGCTTCAATCTCGGTCTCGTTCATCTTGTCCACTAGTCTCATGTCATCCCCGACAATGAACCCCATGATAGCGCCAACGGATTCATCAACCGGGGTGTTGTCGAACGTTATGTGGACGATGCCGGTATCGGCAAGTGCTTGCGCATTCAGCCCCTGCTCACGCCACCAAGGTGTGGGATAGATGGCTATTGCTTTGCCTATTGATCCCATGCCCATGCGCTGAGTGAGTTGGTCTCGTGCTGGGGGTAGAGGTGGATCATAGGAGATGCGTGCGGCCATGGGAGGGGACATTGCGACGATGACTCGCTTTGCTATGATCTGAGTCTCACTCGAGATGATCATGTATTGCCCGTTGTTGTGTTGCACTCTCCCAACAGGACTGCCAAGGTGGATATTCTCAGTTCCCAATTTATCCGCCAACCTCAACGCTATAAGCTGGGTCCCGCCAACTATTCGACTCTCCTGAGCACCCCCTACCACATCAATAAGCCGATCCAGAGTTCCCACCTCCGTCTCATTCCCACTTGCCGCGATGTAAGCGAGTGTATACAGCAGCGAGGGCTCATTAGTCTCTGTGGCCAGAACCCCAGTAACGAATGTATTGAGGAGAAACTTCGCATCAGACAACGTAAGCTGCGAGGCAAAGAAGGTCCCCAGAGTCATGGTATCCCACACAGAGGCGTTAGGATGGTCCCATGGTGCCTGCACATTAATTTCGGCGGCGAGGGCATTAAGCTGCTGCTGGAGTGTAACCACCTCGATCAAAGCCTCAGTGGCCAAGGGAGGAAGACTAGCACTACCCAATTCACATGTGTAATTGGTAACTGTACCGTTTCTCAGGAAAGTGCAATTTCCTGTGTTATAGGTTGGATATGTAGCTAGCCCCAGTTCAGCTGCAAGTGCTAGGACTCGGTCCTGCGTTGGACCCACGAACTCGGCCCCAACTTCCTCGACGATACCGCCAGGAAGTTCGACGTTCAGGACGCGACCTCCGACACGATCGCGGGCTTCAAGTATGGCAAAGGTTTTACCAGCGGCGGCGATGTCTTTTGCTGCAGATAGGCCGGATAAGCCTGCGCCGATGATTGCAACGTCCACTTCCGAGACGGAGAAGGCTGCTGCTAAGAGGGAGATGAGGAGTAGAATAAGGAGATGGAGAGCCATGGCTTTTGAGGTCATCTGCTGAGATGGAAGAAATCCGACTTTTCTCTCAACAGGCCGGCCAGCCCAGTCTCTTGACGGCTCGACAGCCCGACAATATAACCCGAGTGTGGCTTGTGACCTGCCCGGTTGGAAACCCGCCGGGACAACAAAGTATCTGTGGGAAGGCGCATCTGTGCAACCTTTGGATGGAAGTAGCTCTACAGGGCACTCACTTACATCAAATTCATCATTGGATTAGGGAAGCTCGATCACGCAATAACGATAAGAACAATGCATTCAAAAGTCATTCATTAACTATTTCATTACTCATGCTAACTAAATCAATTTGAACCGATGCAAGCACTATTCACAGCTTGGAGCGTGCAATACCCGAGGTTTTCAGGTCAAACCGGTCCAGATTCATGACCTTATCCCAAGCGGAAACAAAGTCCTTGACAAACTTTTCCTGTCCATCCGAGCTTCCATAGACCTCTGCCAATGCGCGCAGCTCAGCATGCGATCCGAAGACCAGATCCGCCCGTGTCGCCGTCCACTTTGGCTGACCCGTCTTACGATCCGTACCCTCGTACAGATCGCGACCACCATCCTTAGCCTTCCAGGCCGTGTTCATGTCAAGAACGTTGGTAAAGAATTCATTCGTCAAGCGACCGGGAGTGGAGGTGAAGACGCCATGCTTTGAACCATCGTAGTTGGTGTTCAGGACGCGCAGGCCACCCACCAGAACGGTCATCTCGGGCGCAGTGAGCGTCAACAGGTGTGCCTTGTCGACGAGATAGTGTTCAGCGCGCACCCGGGACGAGGACTTTCCGTAGTTGCGGAATCCATCAGCCACAGGCTCGAGATGAGAGAAAGATTCCACCTCGGTCTGCTCTTGACTGGCGTCCATGCGGCCGGGGGTGAAGGGAACGGTGATGGATTGGCCGGCCTCTTGGGCAGCCTTTTCAATAGCCGCGCAACCAGCCAGAACGATGAGATCGGCGAGGGAGACCTTCTTCCCAGTTGAGGAATTCCGGTCATTAAAGTCCTTCTGGATCTTCTTGAGTGCGGACAAGGTCTCCTCCAGCCATGGCTGGTTGTTGACCTCCCACTGGCGCTGGGGTGTCAGGCGGATGCGGGCACCGTTCGCACCACCGCGCTTGTCGGTACCGCGGAAGGTGGATGCGGAGGCCCAGGCTGTGGACACAAATTTGGACTTGTCCAACCCAGTGTCAAGGATAGTGCGCTTCAGAGCAGCGATGTCGTTTGCATCAACCAGAGTGTGGTTGACAGCCGGGATGGGGTCCTGCCAGATCAGATCCTCGGTTGGTGCCTCAGGCCCAATGTACCGGGTTCGGGGACCCATGTCACGGTGGAGAAGCTTGAACCAAGCGCGAGAGAAAGCATCGGCGAACTGGTCAGGGTTCTCCAAGAAGCGCCGCGAGATCTTCTCGTAGGTGGGATCGTAACGGAGCGACAGATCGGTTGTCAGCATCTTAGGGAGGTGCTTCTTGGAGGGGTCATAGGCATCGGGAATGATGGCCTCGGTGTTCTTGGCCTGCCACTGGTTGGCGCCCGCAGGACTCTTGGTGAGTTCCCAGTCAAAGCGGAACAAGTATTCAAGGAACGCATGGCTCCACTTGGTGGGAGTCTTGGTCCAGGTCACTTCGATACCGCTGGTGATAGCGTGTGGCCCTTTGCCGGACTGGTAGCGGTTGGACCAGCCCAACCCTTGGTTCTCGAGACCAGCAGCAGCGGGTTCGACATCGACATTATCAGATGAAGCGGCACCGTGTGTCTTGCCAAAACTGTGGCCACCAGCAATCAGAGCGACCGTCTCTTCGTCGTTCATTCCCATGCGACCGAAGGTGGTGCGGATGTCGCGCGCGGCGGCAACCGGGTCTGGGTTGCCATCGGGACCCTCGGGATTAACGTAGATCAAACCCATGTGCGATGCAGCCAGCGGCTTCTCCAGGTCGCGGGTGTGAATGTTGCGATGGGGTGGTTCGTCCCCAGAGAGCGCACCATGCTTGGTGACTCCCGGGAAGCCATCGGAGTAACGTACGTCGTTACCCATCCAGGTTGACTCTCCTCCCCAGTAAACCGACTCGTCTGCCTCCCATGTGTCTGCGCGACCACCGGAAAATCCATATGTCTTGAAGCCCATCGACTCTAGGGCCACATTGCCGGCCAGCAGCATCAGGTCCGCCCAGGAAATCTTTGCTCCGTACTTCTGCTTAATGGGCCACAGCAAGCGACGAGCCTTGTCCAAGCTCGCATTGTCAGGCCAGCTGTTGAGAGGAGCGAACCGTTGTTGACCCTGACCACCACCACCGCGGCCATCGAAGACCCGGTAGGTACCGGCACTGTGCCAGGCCATGCGGATGAACAAGCCGCCATAGTGACCGAAATCAGCAGGCCACCAGTCTTGCGAGTCGGTCATCAAAGCATGAAGGTCTTTCTTGACGGCATAGTAGTCGAGGCTGTTGAAAGCGGCGGTGTAGTCGAAGTCCCGCTCGTAAGGGTTGGATGCCGGAGCATGCTGGCGAAGAATGCCCAGGTTCAACTGATCAGGCCACCAGTCTGTGTTGCGTGTGCCTCCACCAGCAACGTTGGCGTTAGACCTGCTTTGGCTAAAAGGACACTTAGCCTTGGCCATGGTTGGATATTAGATGTGGATATGCGGAGATGTGATGTCTATGGCAGATGTCTGATGGATGGATGATGATGGTTCTCAGACAAGAATGATGATGCCACGATAAACTTTTCCAGTCACACCCTTGCCTGTCCCTGGGATGCACCTTATATAGGCTTTCCCCTCTGCACTTTCCCCTCATCAACCCCTCTCTGTCTGGCCCGAAATGGCCCGGTCACACGCCCTCGTAGCCCCCGGATTGCGGCAGCTCGAATTCGCCGGATTACTCACCCCGCAAGGATCTACAAATCCGGGGAGGTGCTTGGTCATCGGCTGCTGAGTCAAGGGATTGCAGCCAGAACGATTGGAGAATTGAGGAAGTTTGGGTGGTGCCAGAGATGCAGAACTGCAACTGACTAAGTGTGGCAAGTGCGGGGAGAGAGCCAGCCAGCATCGAGGATTAGAGAGAGTCAAGCCAGATTGGTGCTCTAGTGAAGGACCGTGCGACGTCGCGCGTCATGGTAAACCAACTAGATGCCTCCAGGCTGGCCGTATTACAAAGGAGGTTTAGCGAAGACACTCGTAGCGAACTACCCTCTGCATAAGCCTGGGTGTTCCTTCATTAGTGACATTCATTGATTAGTAGCAATTATTATTCATCGTTTAACCCCCCACTGCTCCAGACCCGATCACGTGGGCGGGTGATGACCTGACCAGCCCTTTCTCTAACAATTGTCATCTTTCCATCGGCGATCCTCCCACACTCGATGACGCACCAGGTTAAAGGCATGGGATGATGGCCGATTAATAACTGGGAGAGGTCCAGAGCTCAGAAACGTGCAGAAACCTCGTTCGCAACATGTAGATAGAGTGTCTGGGTAGCTGGTCTGGCTATGGAACCGGCGGAACGATCCAGATTCCGGGGATTACCAAGCAGCCGCACCAATCGGGCCACCAGCCCTAACCTCTTGAAACCAAGTCGGTGGAGATGATGATGTTCATCGGCTTGGCCTCTTACCAAGCAGCGCGTGTCCAGAACCGCTTGCTGAAGTAACCCACGCCTAACCCACGGCCTTGGCATGCCTGCAAGCCACCCGCTCTCAGCGCATTTCTATTCGGCTTGCAGCAGGCACAACACTAAATCTCCGAAATTGGTATGACGCGAAGTCATTAGTAGCCTATAGAAATCCCATGTGCTAACTCAACGTGGGTGTACTTTCCGATTAGCCTCATGCAGAAGGTACTTGTTCTTGTCACCGAGTACCAGTTTGTCACTTATTGTGGTGATCTATCTTGATTGAGCCCATTGTGTTCCTCGTCTCATCACATCGAGTGATCAACATTGCATGACCCTGGTGGAGCCCCTTCGTCTCCCCAACAGGAGGGTCCGGATTACCAAGTCCCGACGCCGTTTGGCTGTAAATCGACTCAAATTCTGGATTCGTAGCTTAACTAAGACGCGTGGGCTGTTTACCGGCCTCGCCATGGAAGCCGATATAAGGACCCGAGGGGACTCCCCTTGGGGAGGCTTCTCCGAAGATCCCAGCATTCTGAATTCTTTTCGTCTTCGTTCCCTCCGCCATGCGTCATTTCTGGCTTTTACCAGCTGTTGCTGGTATCGCTGGGGCTCAATGCCCCTATTTGTCGGGTGAAATGAGTTTCACCCAGGAGCAGGACAATGCTGGAGATACCATTGAGGTCACGGAACAGTCCATTGACAACACTCTTTATGTCAATGACACCGGTAGCTACATGACTACCGACTTTGGGACCCCGATCTCCGACCAGTACAGTCTCAAGGCCGGTCGCCGTGGACCTACCCTGTTGGAGGACTTTATCTTCCGTCAGAAGCTCCAACGGTTCGACCATGAACGTGTAAGTATAGTAGTTGTCTGAATGTGTAACAATGAATTGATCAAGTTTTATTTTCCAATTAGGTCCCCGAGCGTGTCGTCCACGCCCGTGGTGCCGGTGCATACGGTACTTTCAAGTCCTATGCCGACTGGTCCAACGTCACGGCTGCCGATTTCTTGGGTGCCAATGAAAAGGAGACCCCCATGTTCTGTCGCTTCTCCACTGTTGTCGGTTTCCGTGGAAGTGTTGATACCGCGCGTGATGTTCACGGTCATGCTTGTCGGTTCTACACTGACGAGGGTAACTATGGTATGGTTGATATGACAGCACAATAATAACTCTTATACATGCTAACAAGTATGTCTCTTCTAGACATCGTCGGAATCAACTTTGCCCCCTTCTTCATCCAGGACGCCATCCAGTTCCCCGATCTTGTCCACGCCATCAAGCCTATGCCCAACAATGAGATCCCTCAGGCCGCGACTGCTCACACATCCGCTTGGGACTTCTTCAGCCAGCAGAGCACTGCCCTCCACAGTGCCTTGTGGCTGATGTCTGGTAACGGTATTCCTCGTTCTTTCCGCCACATGAACGGATACGGTGTCCACAGTTTCCGCTTTGTCGCTGCCAATGGCACCTCCAAGGTGGTCCGCTACCGCTGGAAGTCCCAGCAGGGTGTTGCCAGTCTGGTGTGGGATGAAGCTCAGGCTGCTGCTGGTAAGAACAGCGACTACCACCGTCAGGATTTGTACAACGCGATCGCCAACGGTCACTACCCCAAATACGAGGTTAGTCCTCAATCAGGCTCTGTTCACTCATAGTTTCGGTCGCTGACAATCCTCCAGCTGCAAGCCCAGATCATGGATGAGGCCGACATGCTCCGCTTTGGCTTCGACCTCCTGGATCCCACCAAGCTGGTCCCTGAGGAGGTTGTCCCTTACACCCCTCTTGGAATGATGGAGCTCAACGCCAACCCTACCAACTACTTTGCTGAAGTTGAACAGGCTGGTGTATGTATCCCCCATCTATAACGACCAGGCACAATCTAACTTCCGCAGTTCCAACCCGGTCACGTCGTTCCTGGCATTGACTTCACCGATGACCCCCTGCTGCAAGGCCGTCTGTTCTCCTACCTGGACACCCAGTTGACCCGTCACGGCGGTCCCAACTTCGAGCAAATCCCCGTCAACCGTCCTCGCAAGCCCGTCCACAACAACAACCGTGACGGCTTCGGTCAGCAGCAGATCCCTACCAACAACTGGGCCTACACCCCCAACACCATGAGCAATGGCTACCCCATGCAAGCCAACCAGACCCACGGACACGGCTTCTTCACCTCGCCCTACCGCTATGCCTCTGGCCACCTCATCCGCGAGCCCAGCCCGACCTTCCACGACCACTGGTCCCAGCCTGCCATGTTCTGGAACTCTTTGATCCCCGCTGAGCAGCAGATGGTTGTCAACGCCATTGTCTTCGAGAACTCCAAGGTCAACAGCCCCCACGTTCGCAAGAACGTTGTCAACCAGCTGAACATGGTCAACAACAACCTTGCCGTCCGTGTCGCCCGTGGTCTTGGTCTCGATGAGCCCTCCCCCAACCCTACCTACTATACCTCCAACAAGACCTCCAACGTCGGTACCTTCGGCAAGCCCCTCCTGAGCATCGAAGGTCTGCAGGTTGGCTTCCTCGCTTCCAACTCTCACCCCGAGTCCATCAAGCAGGGCCAGGCCATGGCCGCTCAGTTCTCTGCTGCTGGCGTCGACCTGAACATCGTCACCGAGGCCTACGCCGATGGTGTCAACACCACCTACGCACTGTCCGACGCTATCGATTTCGATGCCCTCATCATCGCCGATGGTGTCCAGAGCCTCTTTGCCTCTCCCTCCCTCGCTAACCAGATGAACTCTACCGCCACCTCTACTCTCTACCCTCCTGCCAGACCTTACCAGATCTTGGTCGACTCTTTCAGGTACGGTAAGCCCGTGGCTGCTGTGGGTAGCGGTAGCGCTGCGCTCAAGAACGCTGGTATTGATTCCTCCCGCTCTGGTGTGTACACTGGCTCGAGCGAGACCACCGAGAAAATTGCCAAGGAGGTCTTGAAGGGACTTTACACTTTCCGCTTTGTGGATCGGTTTGCCCTTGATGAGTAAGGGTGTTGTACATGTACTCATGGTCATCATTAATGATGATAGATCGCTTGATCGATAGATTTATGTGAGATAGATAGATTGTACTAGACTGTACATATCTCTACTGATGTGTTGTGTTGCAATAACACACGTTTATGAATATATATATTCTTTTCTATATGAAAATTTTACAGGTAATCAACAACCATCTAAAGCTAACAATGACCAGCTAACTAACCCTCTCCCTACCACAAATTGAACCACCAACATTTAAGCAACCATAACATGCACACTGCTCCCCCTCTGCCTCTCTGTCCTCCTATCTGCCCTTGACCCCACTATCATCACCACCGCCATCCCCTCCATAGGAAGCACTTACCACTGCGCTACCGGCTACACCTGGATAGGCGGAGCATACACTCTCGCTTACGCCGCCGTAACTCCCGTTTGGGGCACTATCGCCGACTTATGGGGCCGGAAGCCAGTGATTCTGATCGCAGTGGCTATATTTCTTGAGGGTAGTCTGCTGTGTATTGTAGCACTGCATATAGACGCCCTCCTCGCCGGCCGAGTGTTCCAGGGCCTAGGTGGTTCTGGTATGGGTATCATGGTTAAAATTTTATAAGCGATCTAATTTTATTACGAGACAGGGGTCTCTTTCTTGCCATCACATAATTAGCCTCGGCCATCAGGAGTGCAGTGGGACCTGTCCTCAGTGGTGTATTCATTACATAACTCAGCTGGCGATGGTGCTTCTGGTTCCACCGTACGTCTACACCCACTTGTTTACCCACCAACCCACAGCTAACTGATAACAGTACCCATCGGCGCCCTCTCCAACGCCGTCCTCCATTACCTTCACGTCCCCAATCCCCGAACACCTTGAACGACCGGCCTAAAAGCCATCGACTGGACCGGCATCCTCCTAATTGTCGGCTCCGCACTGATGATCCTCCTCGCCCTCGACCTTGGCGATGTAATCTACCCCTGGTCATCAGCAACAATGGGCTCCGTCCGCTCGCTTGTCACCGCGATAGCAGTAGTAGTTAGGGGCGTGGTATTCCAGAACAAGATGACGGCTGCTAATGGAGCACTGCCCGATAGACTCTGTGGTGACAATGCGCTGGCGAGGAAGTCTGATGGGGACCTTGCGGCGTCGAATGCGGAGAAGAATAGTGGTCTCAAGGCAAGTGAGCAGGTTGCTGTCAGAGAGACGTATTTCAGGGCCTTGGGATGGTATGGGTTAGGTATGTTGCTTTTGCGGGGTTGACGTCGGCGTTTACGCTGTTTGTGAGGGCTCATGATTTGAAAATGGAAAATGAGATGGGCAGTGTTGGGGGTTGTGAGGGAACGTGAGAATGAAACGGGGGGTGAGGTTGAAATGGATGGTATGCGAGATAGAAGTTGTCGGACTTGTGAAGCCATTTAAAGATCGTACACGAGGTTTCAGGTTACAATTCAACGCAGTGTATGTTATTGTATCAAGAAAAGAATCTAGCTGAGCTGCGAAGAAAAGGTAAAATAATACCAAATCAGAAAAAGAGGAGATGTGAGGGATGTTGATTTGGCATACCAGTCAAGGTATAGTATGTTGGGCTCTGTTATATGGCCGCGCGATAGTTCCTGATAATGATTCTCACTGGGTTTTGTTTAATACCTCCTACATCTCTGTAACGGACCTGGCTACAAATGAAGGCCAGGCTATTCAGTCCTGCCCCTGCTTCTATTTCTCGATGTTCAATTGTATGCCGAGCCCACAAACATTGCCACTCAGACGAATCCCATCCAAAATTTCGCGTATGTCTGTGACGAATATCTTTCGGGAATAGTGGGACCTCGACCCAGCGGGAAATATTTCCTTGATCGGCAAAATATCCAGCTTCTTCACACTGACAAGATTGTGGTACTCTTTAGCGTACGAATACGAGGAGCGCCAGGCGGAAGCACCCGAGCCCGACCCACACTTGCGGCGTTTTAACAAGGACTTCATGCTAGTCTAGAACGACGAAGATCAATGAGAGGAGGAGAATGTATAGACAGGGGTGGCGAGGACTGGAAATAGAGATTTTTTCAATGTAAGTGACCTTGATTTGTCCAGCAGAAAATGCTTGAGGGGAACCCGTATCGGACATGGTCGTAAAAGGAAATCGAAAGAAAGGTAAATCAATACAAGAATAGCTAAATATTACAAATAAAAGATAGAAAATAGGGCACGAAGTAGGTCACGACTGAGAGGATCTATAATAGTATAATCGCCTCGAAGCTGATAATATTTGGACGCTATCTGATACTATGATAAGGTAACCGCCTGGTTCATCGACGCGACTTATAACAGGCAGGCAGTGTTCACTTGTACAAAAGAAGAAATGCACCGACCCTTCATTTTCTTCAGAACGGCCCTTAGTAGTCAACGAAGACGGCAGCTATGGCCAACCCATCATGGCATGCGAAATTGGCGAGATAGTCGATCTCCGCGCCACGAGGGTTCAAAATAACCAAGGCAAGGACAACAACCCCTTTCCTTAGCGTAGCCCCTGGAGATTAACGTAGCTTTCACCACATCCTAAATCAGTCTCGCTCGTCGAGAGCATGTTGTACGGCTTCCATCTGTGGAAGATAAGTTGCACGAGCAGCATCGGGATGGTATCGAACAGATACATATAAATCTCGTGCGAAACAAGGTAGCCGTCATGTCCCTGCACAAACTCAACAACTCGGTAAACACATCTGAAGATAATGAGAGCGGCCATGATATAGAGGATGTAGAGCAGATTCTTCCACGGCCCACCTGGCACCCTGGTCGGGTTGCTGCGAATCCGCAATGAAAACTTGACCGACACATATAAGAAGAACCCGAAGAAAAGCAGTTGTATTACTAGGCCAAAGACGAGAATCTTCTGACCGATGTCGCCCAGGCCGTTAATCGCCATCATCCCTCCACCGCTGCACTGTAGGAGGAAGGCGAGGACATCTCCAATAACAAAGAGTTTGGTCACTTTTGCCGGAGCGATAATGGAAAGTTCCGGTCGTTGTGTGCACCTCACGATTCGTCCATAGCACATGTAAATAGTGGCGGCGTAGAGTGAGGGCGGGAGCAGAATCAACAGGGATTGACTGATGTAGGGGCCGAGGCTGTTGGGGTCTGTGGCAGAGACGGCGCGGCTTATGTATCCGAATGTCATCACTAGTTTTTCGTTCCTGGGTTAGTCAAGGATCATTTCTCATCTTCAATCTCGGCAACTCTTCTTGTGTTTTCCCAGGGATAAAGTCAAACGTACTGAAGGAGCCAACAATAAAGGCCGTAAAGAACCAGGCCCTGGCTCTAATGAATGCTTGCCACACATGGAGACCTGCGCTGATTCCGAATACCAGTGCAAAAACAACACTAGCCGCTACACTTGGCTTGTAGTTGTAGAGCGAGTACCCATCATTACCATCAGCCATTGACGTTGCTGTCTCTGGAGTGATTGGTAGGATTGAAGTATGCCAATATATATCCTCAGATACTGAGTGTCTGGAATTGCCGAATAAAATTTCTCATGTAGTAGGGACTACCGCTGAGAATATAAGAACATAGGAAGCAAAAGTCCTGGTCTATCAGGAAAAGATAAAATAATGTGACGAAGAGCCAAAAAGTAACAAGGGGCATGGCTGGCAATAAAGGTCCATGAAAATGGTTGCGCATAGAATACTGTGGAGCTGTGCAATCGTGAACGGAGTACATAGTATCAAGAATATCATTAGTTAACGAATACGAGCTGACTGGGCGGCTATTTGGTGGAGTATTGAATCCTGATGTTTGGACCCTGGCTGGAAACTTTATCTGTACTCTATTATTCTACGCCTAATTCGTCCGGTCACACAATCTAGGCATGGCAAAGCTTGACTGTAGGACCGGGGCTCGCTCTGCTTGGCTCGTCTAGTAAGTGGGTCAATCTAAATTCGGACCATTCTTCGACCTGAAAAGTGAATATTTTTGACAGTATTCCTTCTCCTTAGAGTATCAGAATACTGCAAGAGAGCCCGCTAGGTTACAGGTCTGAGTGCATAGCTCACTAACTGCACTGTACAGTATGTGTGCTCTAGTTTGCCTGTACGAGGCAAGATATGAAACGGAAACGATTCTGTGCGTGGCTACGAGCAAGACCATAAAGGCTACTACACCTAAATAGTATGTTCTAATAAGTAAAATTGACGAATAGGGGAAAGGGTTTCTGGAAATCCGCTGACGCGGAGCTTGACCAACTTCGCATAAGCGGGTCTTGTTGGTTTACGCAGTCTATTGTGAAATCCATGGCTGAACGCCCCCTAGGTATAGTGCCTTCCTACTTGTGTTTAAATTCGGGTATAGTGCTTACGAAACCCAAGCTTAAGATTGCGCGCCAGTCTTTCTCGAGACTCACAAGTGGAGCCGAAAGTAAAATGCAGGGCCCAGTGTTAAAGACCATGTGCCGTAATTTCCTTGAAGTTCAGTATTGTTTTTGGCCTAGGATTGGGGGAAACCCAGTATGGCATGGAATTAGGACACATCGTTCGCTTTCTTATACCTGTCGCTCTATTGATGTCACTCTTCCACATTACTCTCTATTCAAGTTATTATCGTTAGTATTCTTCGAGTCTCGGTTCAGAAGCCTCACCATACTTGCGTGTCAGCTTAACAGTTATTTTATTAAAAGACTGGCTTAAAATTATGTTTCCTGATATGGAAACATTTGCTCCTTAGGACCCTCGAATGTCTTGGTCTAAGCATCTTATCGTTCTTTAAATGTCTAGCTAGGCTATCTACGCGTTTAATCCAGAGGATAGTCTTCCTCTTCACCATAGCATTCTCTGAGAAATTTCTGCATGCACATGTTACTTCGCCCATCAAATTTTCAAGGTCTATAATGTCCATGGATGTTCCCATGATCGGCTGCCGAATTTTCAGGAGCAGTGGTTCCCATGCTTCTCCCTACTTGGTTTCCCTGGAACCGCTCATTGCGACCACTTCTGTATTACCGATCTGGTACGCTCACTCAGTTACTCATCAATGTTTCTAGCATAACGTTCTTCGATTAGTCAAAACGACTCAAACAGCAACCTGAAAGCCAAGATCGCTGATCTGGGGCTTCCCCCCACCTTTTTCCTCACTGGTAAGACAAATCAGCAAAATTAGCCTTTCAGGTCAATAGTCCGTCATATCCGCCTAAAAGTTGCTACGGACGTGAGATATGGTGTCGAGCAGTATAGGCTAATGGGGCATCATGGATCGCGCTAGTCATGACTGAAATTTGGACGAGGACAATCGATATGGGGAGCAGGCTTATGGACGGAAATCCAGAAATGGCGGGCGCAAGTCCAACCAGAGACAATCATTCGCAGAGAATAGTATAATCCCGGATAAAGGGCAATCATGTAAAGGCGGCGAAGGAGAAGCGGGAAGGCTGTATCCAAAGGCACTACCCCGATGAAAGAATATTGGCATTGCCACATGTGCAGAGGTAAGGAGGGATTTTTTCTGGCCGAGTCCTCCCACATGCTCCCCGTCAAAGGAAGTTTGCAGGATAAACCAACACTGTCTCCTTTCCCTTAGCATGGAGAGAATCTGGCGACAGACTCAGGATTGTCCGTGACCCAAGACATGGCAGAACAATGGAGTTGAAATTCCGGTCAAAGTTAGGGCATGACCGAGACCCCGGGGGGAGAGCGGTTTATTATATGAGGTTGCCATTTTCCGTCATGGTCAACCATGCTGGATTTGCATACTTTTTGCGGTTAGTGACTCTCTCGGACCAAGGTGCCTTTTACGTTGAATTGCCCAAAACGTGAACAGCTCCTGGACCAGGGTTCCAGGGCAATAAAACACTGCCAGAAACGGCATCACATAGGCGAGTCACTCACCATGGCCCAGTTCATGAGAAACTCAGTGCTGACTCAGAAACACGAGCTGCAGTTGAGGCTTCACATTTGGGGTTTCCCAAAGCGATATTGAGAACAAGTTAAGAGGTGAAGCACCTGTGTGGGCCTAATCACGTTCACACCTCTAAGCCCACCTCGTTTACGACCCAAGACACATATGGTCTCCAGGGCTCATGCAGGTGATCCCAAATACTGCGCGCGACGCGTAAGCTCCAACCCTCCATCCACCAATGGTGCCTGAAATGATGCAGTACAAGGCAATAATGAGCTAGTATCACTAGTGCCATTGGGTCATTCTCTTTAAGAAGCTTCAGGTATTTGGATTCAAGGCCGAAAGGCCAACGCAGGGCCAATTCGACACGGCGCGGCTTATCTTGGTAGATCTCCATCATGTCTTTCAAATGACTGATAGCCGCACCGTAGCAGTCCACGTCATGGTCCCCAAATTGTCCGCCCCGAGTCTCATTCAGTGACTTCAGCTGGGACAGGGCAACCTCAACGGTTTCCGGTAGAGGCCAATGTTTGGTGTCATCCACTTGGGTGAACACATCCGCCAACTTCCCTTCTCTGACCCAGTTCCATGATGCGCCCAGAATCTCTCGAAGCCCTCTGCATAGTGTAAATGCCTGGATGAGGTCCTGTACAGAGTCGTGGTTCGCCATGAGCGGAGAACAAGGAGGAATGGCGAACGTCAATTGCAGAAGTAAACTGGCAAATAAGAAGATGGGGTGGCTATTTTCACGGTTGATGGAAGGAAGGACAGGTCGGAATAAAGCGAGTGCTCGGTTTTGATGCTCCAATGCGATTGAGAAGTAGCGGGTCCTAGAGACGGGAGCGCTGGTGCGAGCGATATGGAGAGCAGATAATGCTAGTAAGCCATGCAGGACAAATGGATACTCTAAGCCCTCCTTCGGCAACACCCATCGGTATAGATCTTCGAACTGCTGGTCGTGGGCCATGGTGGCGTATGTCGAAGAGCACCACTGCAGAAGCAGTTCCATATTGCTTAGATTTAGCTCGGGGGCTTGCGGAAGAGGGTCGCTGCTACCCATCCAGCCTAAGGATGGTGGAGTCGAAGACGTAGTGGGTGATTTGCGGCGACCAGACGAGTTCTCGGTCTGTGGAGGCTGCATCCACTCATCCCTGGGAGCGTAGACACATTCAGTGCTGCGATTCAAACAATTGCTGCATTCCGGCTGACGCTCATCACACTGCAAGCGCACGTGAGTAAAAAGACTTGTGAGTCACCGTGGAACTAAACATAATACAGCAGAGCTACAACACACGGTTGGACTGACATATACTGAACGCGCAGTGAGGCAAAGGGGAGCTAGCATGACAGTACCTTGACTCTTCGCCTTTTGCACGCAATGCATCCATGACGAGACTTGCGATGTGACCGACGCGATGGCATTGTGGAATACTGATCAATGGCAAATCCTGGCAAGGCCAAGAGCCAACGGCGAGGAGAAAGAAAAGCGGGAAAAGACAAAAAATATCATTTGCGAGATGGCATGTGCCGGTCGGTGATCTCATTCCCATCTTCATCTTTGGGGTCAGCCCCTTCCCGTACCAGACTATCACGTGCGGTAAGGCTGAATCCGCCCCAACGGCGTTCCGAGCGCATCTTTCGGCATATAGCAAGTACGCTGTTCTCATATATGCATGACACTGTACCCTATATCCTGTATACTGCTGGGCACCTCCTCCCTAACCGTAGATATATAAAGTGACCGTTTCCTTGTCTTATGGCTTCTAATTACCTCCAGCTATGTATCCAGAGATAATAGTCATTCAAGAATAGCTTTAACCTCAGCCCTCGGGTGTCCCCTTCTACGTAGATTTGCTACAATATAGAATTATCATATAATAAATTTTGATTGGCCTCAGCGTTTTTGTCCTGCTCCCAGTACATGTTAACCTTGACTTCTGTTTGAGCCATTGATGACTCCAAATTCTTCACGTAAGAAAATTAATGAAGGAAGGGACGAATAATCTCCAATCCATTGCACACAATGTCATTCCATTGGCTGAACAAAGAGCAGCCCAGGCGGGGGCGGAGAAATGAAGTAAATCGAGGGACTACTCACAGCAAACCAGTTATCATTCGCAAATACAGGTCACACCAGGTCGTCTGCCTCAGAAGCTTGGGCCTATCGTTGACCCGTGCCTGGGACTTCGCATCTTGAGGGCTCATGTTCAGAAAGGGTTCAGGCCAAGCTATTCTCAACCTAAGTCACAAACCAGGTTCATAGAAGACAGCGGATGCCGATGTTAGGGATTTGATGGTGATGTGAATGAAATCACGACTGCGGAGATCGTGCCTCAAATACCGTGAATAATGCTTCGCAGCAGAGTTATCCCAGTCTGGAGTTTCATGCCATTTGCAGTTGATGTTTGTATACTGCACTTCATTATCATCACGTTCAAGTAACCCACACAGAGTTGACGAAGGATACCCTGATTGGTTGGACAGACGTTGCTAACAACATCAAACTATGGAGTACTCATTTTCGTCTACGCCGGGTGCTCCAGGTAGGATTTCAGATTGTGGCAGAGTAGACCGTCCCCAGCCACTGTGACCCAACCAACAAGGCTGATTAAACGATCCGAGGGTCAATTGTGGGGTGGAGTAAAGTTTGTAAGAAAGGTGTCCAGCGATATGCCAGATACGAATACGATACCGTAATTTATCAGGGGAAAAAGGTACAGAATTGAGCGAGCCTTTTAAGCTTGTTTTCTGGAAGCAACCCAAATCTGACTCAATGGTCTCTTCAGCATATATTTCCATGGATCTTGCCAGTTATATCTGTCCGTAGAAATATCCCCTTCCATTCCTTCGCGAAAGTTCCCTAGAGCGATATGAATAATACGAGTACGGTCAAATGACTTCTCGGGTCCCTGTGTGAAGTATCTTTTTGCCCTTTGAATCCAATACTATAAAGGGGGGGGATCGTTAGACTAGCAGAAATAACAACACCATCTTCCATTACCTATCCCTTTCAGAAAGAAAAGGAAAGCATTCAACATGTCCAACGATGACTCTACTTGGACCTACTATCACTATGATCCTTCATTACCAGCGGCCTTGATCTTCACGATTTTGTTCGGCATAAGCTCGGTGGTTCACACGATTCAAATGCTGCGTACGCGCACTTGGTGCTTTATTCCCTATGTTATAGGGGGCTACTGTGAGCAATAAGCCGTCCATATCCCCACAAATTCTCTCGATATCCCCAAGGGTGGAGAGAGTGGAGCCTCGTCGAGGATTAGATAACTAACCATCATTGATTGAACTCTTTTAGTTGAGTGTGTCGGATACATTGGCCGTGCTCTAGGACATTATGAGACACCAAATTGGACTTTGGGGCCTTATGTACTGCAAAGCCTTCTAATTCTCGTTGCTCCTGCCTTGTTCGCTGCTTCCATATATATGGTGCTGGGGAGACTTATTCTCATCACTAAGCATCCAGAATATGCTATTGTGAAACCCCGATGGCTGACGAGATTCTTCGTCTCCGGAGATGTAATATCTTTCCTTGTCCAAGCAGCCGGTGAGTCTATAGTTCCTTACGTTTCTTCATAAGAAGAAGCCTTTTGTTGATCTGCTTTTCCCTTGAAATTTATCCTATTTTTCCTCGCCCACCTATCACTGCCTGTCTTGTTACACGTATGCTGACGTTATAATGAATTCAGGTGCGGGAATCATGGTCACCGGAGCGAACGGGATGAGGACGGGTGAAGATGTTGTGATTGCCGGTCTGTTCATTCAGATCGCCTTCTTTGGACTGTTCATAGTCACCGCTACCGTGTTTCTTTGGCGTATGCAGCGCAACCAGTCTGCCGCCCGGCTCACTATTCCAGGTCTTCCATGGCGAAAGAACCTGCTAGTGATGTACGCCGCCTGTCTTCTTATTATGGCGCGGTCAGTCTTTCGCGTTATCGAATACATTCAAGGGAACAACGGCTACCTGCTCCGCCACGAGGTCTTTCTCTACGTCTTCGACGGGGTCCTCATGTTCATGCAGATGCTGCTCTACAACATGTGCCATCCGAGTGAGCTGATCTCCATAGGAAAGACGGCAATCTTGCCAAATGGCCAGTCTAGCAGTGTCCGCTTGCGCCCGTTCTTTGTGTAAGCTATTGCGAAACGGCGGGAGAAAAAGAAGCATGAGATACGAAAAAAGTGGCAATTGAGAGGAGGACCGCCGGGGAAAAAGAGTCAATCCTAGAACACGTGCTTTGCTTCAGCGTGATTCACATTTTTCTTGAACGAACATAGAGATGCTAGTATTCAACCGATGTACTTAGTATATATACCCAGAATATGATGGCCCTCACTACATAAAATACAAATGGTTCAGAGCTCAGCAGAGTCAACTACTAATGTAGACTTGCACAAAGCTATCTCAATAAATAGGTAGTCTTTCATGGCCTAATATGATCTGTTCAATCACATGACATTCCCCATAGAAAATTTATGGACAAATCGCAGGTATGATTTCCCGTCACAAAGTGTCCAAAATCCTGAAAGGTAGCAAGGCCTGTGTGGCTGTGTCGCTTCCCCATATTAGCTCTGTTGTCAAGGCATGCGAGATATGAAAAGACTTATTACATTCTTGATGTAGTAACCACGGCTAGTGTACGATGTGAGAGATGAGTAGCCTGATAATCAAGCAGAAGACCCATACTGCCTTGCACGGTAGGCCTCGTATGACTAATTGATCAACTTATGTCTACTCTGCTTCTTCATTCTCAATATCTTAATCTCATCTTTCCCAATCAAGATCCTAGGTACCCATTTTGCTACTTTCTCGCTAATGGAGCAAGTGGGGGCGAGAGAAGGATATAAACGAAAGAAAACCTAAATTTATCCTTCTATTGAGAGGGTTGGCTATTCTGCCTGAAAGGGAAATTACGGCAGATGTTGTAGCCAGACCGCTTCCCCACAAGACCCATGCAATAGTTACCCACTTCGTACGAGTTAGTCCTTTGGCACAAGGCTCTATCCCTAACATTTTCATACATTATTATGTGCCTGGGAATAAAGGGAATAAAACCGTACGGGTCATTCAAGTGTAAGCCCAGAAAACCTCTCAAGTCTGGTATTCGTACACTAACCAAGTCAGGCCATCTTTGACTCCCAGAGGAGAAATTGAACATGTAAATCAGTTCTATCGATCGCCTTAGGAGGCCTGACCGGTGTGGAGGTGGCACCTCCTAGAATATATCTCTAGCCACATCCGATAGTTCTGTATCTCACGGTTTATCTCAAGGTTTGGGGCATTCTTAGTCGAGGAGTCTCTTTCAAGAAAGGCAAGGCTACCTTATAACTACGGCGAACAGCAAAGACACTCTAGGTCAGTCCACGCGCTTAAGGCACCTAGGTGAGGGTGTGGCATATTAGACGGATGGACGCACTTGCTACCCGCTCCTTCTGTAGCGTCCCCAGCAGAATATCAGGCCCAACCCTATGCCGAGGGCGATGCTCACCCAGAAATGTGCTGACCACGGTATGTGGGTATTTCTTCGCGTTTCCGGAACGGGAATTACTGACTGCCCGTATTCGTTCTCTAATGCGTTTATGGATTAGCCTAAAACTTAAAAAGAAGCGGGTAATAATAGTCATGCTCTATTATCTCTGATTGGCCATGAACGCCATTGGAACTGTGGAACGTAATTGATCATCGATGCCTTCGGTTTCTTATCTGACCCAGAACGTATTGAGGGGACATGTAAATCTCTGTGCTATCGTATCCTATGGAAATAGGACGTCCACTACTAACATTGGTGTACCACAACCACCCCGTCATTTAGCCGGATACCGTCCTCCACTGGGAATTAAGATATAATAAGAGAAATTGAGGTGATCCTTGCCAGTTGTGGGATTTGCCCCTGTTCTTGCGTTCAACACAAAACATCGAAAGGAAAGGTAGAAACAATCAATTACTTGGCCGCTTGAAGTATGAGGCCCCAAATGTTGAGCTGGCAGAGTGACAGTTCCTCGATTTGCTTGGGACGTGCTATGATGACCACAGTAGGATCCTGTGTGGTCACCGCCCCACCAACAATCCCCAAAGACTGATCACACCCGCAGAGCTTTATGCTAGTCAATATGGCTATCACGCAGGTTCCATTCTCTATCAGGCCACCGCGTGGCGAACGGTGCCAAGTCCTCATTCTCTCGCACTAGCCAGGGGAGTTTTCACATTCGCGCACTTGGTGAGCTTGAAGTCGATGTTTCTCCATTTGTGGCTTGGATGTGAATATACGCCCAGACGCTACATTTCGTTGATCCTCTGAAATCCGGCTATTCCTATATTTTCACAATGTTGATCAGTAACATGGGACTGAACGCAGATTTTCACGAGAAATTAGAGAGTATGAAGGAACCGCGTGGCCTTCTCAATTACGGTCCCAAGCTACTTTTGCCGAACGACAAGTTCTCTACCTCCTCGGCGCTCCCGCCCAGGTTTGGCAGTATAGTTTCCGTGTGAATCGCCTTATGGAACGCGGTGCAAGATGCTTTGTTACAGCGTTTAGATTATACCTCCCTTATGGGTCGTATATCTGGAAATACGATATGCGTCTTCCCTTACAATGCCTCGCCAAGCCGGCCGCCGGATATCTTTCGCTTTAAGTTTTCCTTTTCTGGTAAAGTGAACGATATAAGCATAGTGACATCATGTGCAAGTCCTGATGATATTCTCAATCTCCGCGGAGGGAAGTAAATCGCCCTTCAGTCCTGAGCACTAGACGACAGCGGCGCAAAGCTCGATGATATTCGACTTGATAACCTGCAAATATACACACTAGATCCCCTTTTTCCACACCCGCTTCTACTTTTGAATATACTGTCAAAGATTATAGACCTTGGATCGGTGTGGCATGGGAATTGCGAGGTAACCTGCATATTTGGCTCGCTTCGAATCGGAATGCCGGCTCCTTCACAGAATGTAATATGTCAGAAAGGCAGAGAATGTTAAACGCAGTTGATCTATTCAATTAAATTTTTGCTTATCGCAGCCAAGATGTATCGTTATTATATCCTTAAATTGATATGCAATTTCCGTGGGGGCACTGAAGGATATCTATCTTGCGGCCAATTATGTCACGACAGTAATCGCTTTATGCATCATAAACCAATTTGCCCCGCAGAATCTTTGCAGAGAAGCAAAGGATGAGCATGAGAAAAAAAGTCATGTTGATGAGCAGGAACAAGTTGACCTTTACTCTTTGGACACCACTCTACAAATTATTAGAAGCTACGGGAGATCTCTCCGTCAGCTGGCCGAATAGCCAGAATATGTTGTTTTGGTGCAGCTGTTAGCCCTGCGACAGAAAATATCGCTATGGCACTGGATAGAAGGGGTATACGCTTATATAGAAAACCGAAGCACATAAAATAGCTGCGACCGACAAGAGGGCAATATGTGGACTTTACCGTGGTACGTGATGAATGTTTAGATGATCAGCCCCGTGGCGCTAATATGGACTGCCTTTACTGCCTTCCTAGAAGATGTTTACAGGAAAGGGATCCAAAGCTAAGAGAGTTATCACCAGCAAGGTCAAAGGGTCAGAGTGACCGCAGTACGCAGCAATACAGATTAGGCCCCTGGGAGAGACTGGGTAGCAAACCCGTGGTAATGATCACCCTGGTTCAGGGTCGCAAACCGATATTCTCTGGGGTCGTCATCGGTACAACAAGGGCAGAATTCTCACCGCCATTACGAACACGAATACGAAAATGATGTGAATGAGTATTCCCGATCAGCGGTGGGCATGTGGCGTCCAAAGAATGCCTGTCTAGATGGACCTTTCCTATCGTCTATATAAATGAGGGGTTGGAACCCCCCTCAACTTACATGAGAATGGAGTCAAACCGTTCGAACAAATCCTCCTCGGCCTGATGTTAATTTTCCGATTCAGCCCATGGGCAGTTCTTGCTCTGACTTCTACAGTTTGCTGCTCAAGGGCTGGCAGCAATGACCAATTCTCCGGCGACATTGATCCCGGAACATTCCTAAGCCCATCAGCGGTCACACGGCCTCGATTTCGATACTGGCTTCCTGATCCCAGCGTTGATGAGCAGACCATGAGAGACGACATAAAGTCAGCCGCAAATGTGGGAGCTGGAGGCGTGGAATACTTGCCTTGGTATAACGCCGGCGGCTTCCTTGGTCCTGCTCCTCCAGGGGACGACTGGGGCAGATACGGAGTTGGCACACCCGCATTTAACAGACTGTTTCAGGCTGCTCTAGAAGCTCATCGGGATGCTGGTACAGTGATGGACTTTGCCATCGGACCCAATCAAGGGCAGGGTGTACCGGCGGATCCTAATGACGAAGGCCTGCAGTGGGACTTGGTACGTCTACGAGAAGTGGTAAATGATTGAAAAGCTTTATCACAATATCCTCAATCTTTCCGCTTTTCCTTGCGGCGAAAAGAGGTCATCTGCCTTGAATTGTGAAGCTGACGTTCCCGCCTTCTTTTCTCTTACTATCAGATACCATTCTCGACAGCGATTCCTGTCAATGGAACCTTTGCTGGGATTATTCCGGGATGGGGGACAGGTGAACTATTTGCAGTCATTTCAGCCGAAGTGTTGGAAAGAATTGACAACTCCACTGCGTCGTCCGCTGCTCATGTTCCCCACACTCGTCTCGTTGTCAAAGAATCTTCGCTCACGGATCGAACTGATGAGGTGTCTTCCACTGGACATCTGTCTATCACCTATCCCACAAGCTCCAGCCAACGCACATACTGGCTGTTCGCATTCTATCAACGCTTGACCCAGGATCAAAATTTAATATTCACGTCGAATGAAACGGATGCGATTGTTGAAAACGGAGCATATATGGTTGATCATTTTAGTTCCCGGGGCGCCGAGACGGTGATCAATTTCTGGGATAAATACGTCCTCAGTGAGAATGTGAGATCCCTGCTTGCTGAAGTGGGAAACTATGGTAAGAAGGGCCCATGGTAGAATGACTCCTCTGAATCCTGTCTGACATGCTTTATAGCCTGGGAGGACAGCATCGAAATCAAATCGAATATATCCTGGTCCAGGTCCCTTCCGAACCTGTTTGAGCAGAAGCATGGATACAGTCTCATCAAATACTTGCCCTTGATAATGTTTGACAATAATAATATTGCCATCCAGTCAAGCAATCCGGGGCCCGTCCAGTGCGTTACGGACGCGCTCGACGAAGGGATTCGCTACGTCAACGACTTTCGCGAAGCACTGGTGGAGGGATACAGTAAGTATTTACAGAGACTGACAGAATGGGCGACAACAGATCTCGGTCTACAGATGTCAGT